AACACCAAGTTTGCCAGTCTTAGCAAGGAGGTCAAGGATATATTTACACTAAGAAATGAAGATACCATCTTCAGATCTAGCAACTTCAATGCCCAAAAAATATCGTAGATCTCCTAAATCCTTGATCTCAAATTCAAAGTTAAGAAATCTTTTGAGTTTACTGACCTCTTGGGTATCACTACCCGTGACCACAATATCATCAACATAGACTATCAAAAAGGTCACCAGAGAGCCACTTCTTTTCAAGAACAAGGYATGATTCGATTGAGCTTGTGTGTAACCAAATGAGACAAGAGCAACCCTAAACCTCTCAAACCAAGCTTGAGGAGACATGTTTGAGAGTGTAAAGAGATTTTTGCAGTTTACACACCTTCCCCTGCATTTCCTTTCCATACACCCCTGGAGGCAGACATATAAACCTCTTCATGTAGATCGCAATTCAAGAAGGCATTTTTAACATCAAACTGGTGGAGAAGCCAATCAAAAGTAGCAACCAGAAATAACAAAACCCGAACTGAGGTCATCTTAGCCACAGGAGCAAATGTCTCAAGATAGTCAATACCATACATCTGAGTATAGCCTTTAGCAACCAACCTGGCCTTAAACCTCTCAATAGATCCATCAAAATGATATATAATGGAAAATACCCATTTACAACCCACTTTCCCTTYAGGTAAGTCAACAATATCCCAGGTATGGTTCTTATGCAAAGCATCCAGTTCAGCCATCATAGCATCACTCCATTCAGGTTTAGATAAGACTTCTAGTACAAACCTAGGTATCACATGGGAAGAAACAGAAGCAAGAAAAGAGTAGTAGGTAGGAGATAAAAAGTTATAAGATAGGTGTTTGGAGATACAATGGACTGTACACTTCTGCTTGCCCTTGTGGAGAGCAATAGGAAGATCAATGTTTGGGAAAGATGTAGATGGGTCAAAGGAAGGTTGACCTGTTACCTCAATAATGATGGGAGGAGCAACAGGCTCTTTTGTAGGAGTGGAAACAACTTGTTCATGTCTGAATATGTGCCTTTTGTACCACCTTTGAAGAATAGGATGAGGAGGAATTACAGGAGGATGAGGTGGAGGAGGAATAGGAATAATGGAGGTAGGCCCGGTGGGAGAAGTGGACACCTCATGAGATGACTCAAAAGGAACAGGAAGAGGAACTGCTAGAGACTAGCAAAGGGTTCATCAGATTTCTCCCCCTCAAAAGGAATACTAAAGAAAGGAGTAGACTCAACAAATGTGACATCACGAGATACAAAACGAGTGTCATTAACTGGATCAAAACAGCAATATCCCTTCTGTGTGGGGGCATATCCCAAAAAAAACACATTTACGAGCCTTAGGTTCAAATTTGTACCTTTGATGGCTGTGAACATGCACATAGCAAGTGCACCCAAAAACATAGAGAAGAAAAGAGAAGAGATCCTCATTTAGAAAGAGAAGGCTAAAGGGGGTTTTGAAACCAAGAACCCGGAAAGGCATATGGTTAATCAAAAATGTAGCAGTAAGGACAACATCTCTCCAAAATTTTATAGGAACATGGGATGAAAAAAGGAGGGATCTGGCAACTTGAACCACATGTCGGTTCTTCCTTTCCACCACTCCATTCTGTTGTGGAGTGTAGGAACAAGAACTTTGATGAATAACCCAAAAGTTTCAAGATAGGCTAAGAGGGTTTTCTCAAAATACTCCTTAGCATTATCAAAATGGAATATTTTGATCCAGGTGTTAAACTGGGTAAGAATGAATTCATGAATCTTTTGCACAATAGTTGGTACTTCATCCCTGGATTTCATGAGATAAATCCAAGTGTAACGCGAATAGTCATCAATAAAAAGGATAAAGTACCTGTAACCCCCCATAGTAGGCAAATGATATGGCCCCYACACATCARAGTGAACAATATGAAAAGGAGAAATAGATCTTTTATTGCTTACTGAATAAGATTGTCTACAATGCTTTGCCAGTTCACACGACTCACAATGAAGACTTGATAAAGACACTCCCTTAAACATATCTGGAAATAAATGACTCAGCAGAAAAAAGACAAATGACCAAACTAAAAGTGACATAACATAGCTTTATCAATAGACTCTAACAAGGCCGACTCCAAGGCAACTCCATGAGGTGGTCCAAGAGCACAATCAGGTGTGTCTAGCAAGTATATTCCGTTCGCCTCATGGCCACTCCCAATCATCCTCTGAGACTGTAGGTCCTGAAAAACACAATAAGTGGGAAAGAAGGTTATGCTACAGTTCATGGATTTAGTCATGCTACTAACAAATAAAAGATTCGTATTAAGTTTAGGAACATGAAGGACAGAGGATAAATAAAGGGTGCCAGAGGTTTTTATATCCCCTTTGCCAGAAATGGGAGCAAGGGACCCATCAACAAGGTATATTTTCTCTTTACCAAAGATAAGGTAGTATGAACAGAAAAGGTTAGACAAGCTGGTCATATGGTCTAATGCACTAGAATCAATGATCCAAGGGATTTTATGATTACCTGAAACTGAAGCATGGTTTGTAGAAGCACAAATACCTAAGTGAGCAAATGTTGATGATTATGTGTTGCCTGAAGAGTGAGATGTAGAAACAATAGCATCCAAGTGACTTAACAGCCTACCATACTTTTCAAAATCCGCCTTCATTGATGCCAATTGTTCAATGCTGTATTTCTCTTCACTCTCCTTCCTCCTTCCAGTATTGTGGCGACATTAGCTGTCTTAAGCTTTCCTGTCTGACTACCCTTCTTAAAATCATTGTTATTCTTAAACCGGTCAGGAAGATCAGGGTGAAGCTTCCAGCAAGTGTCCTTCATATGCCTCGGTTTCTTGCAATATCCACATACCTGCTCCTTCTCAGTTGGACCCTTCGGCTTTATTCCCGCATGTGCAAAGTGTTCCATAGGTAGACTCTGTAATTGAACTTCCCGCCTACTCTCCTCACTGCTCACCATAGCATATGCCTGGGCAAGAGTAACATCATCTTTGGCCAGAATATTCTGCCTAATGATGTCAAACTCGGGGTTGAGTCCAGTAAGAAATTCAAACACGTTGTTTCTTTCCACCAACTTCCTAAACATTTCTGAATCATTCTTAGTCTCCCATCCAACTATCTTCATAACATCAATTTCCCGCCATAAGGATTTCAGTACAGAATAGTAGATTGCCACACTCTTCTCCCCCTGTCATAGGTTCTTCACATCACTTTTCAGCTTGTAGAYTCTATCCACATTCAACTTCTGTGAATAAGTTTCAGTAACACTGTCCCAAATCTCCTTGGCAGAGGCCATCCAGAGATAGTGCTGACTTATATGAGGTTGCATATAGTTGACTAACCATCTTATGATAGTATAGTTCTCCTGCATCCATTTCTCATATTCAAGGTCTGTCTCTTTGGGTTTCACTTTACTGCCTATGAGGTACCCTAATTTTCCTCTACTACAGACATAAATCCTTAAAGATTGTGCCCAAGCAAGATAATTTGTCTCATCTAGCTTGATTGTGGTCACACCAGTCAAAACAGAATCCACCGAGCCAAGCTTGGAAATCGGCATCTGCTTGAACTCACTTCCATATTGCTCTATTAATCAAACGAAAATCAAAAAACCAAAAAACTTACTTGAAGTCAAACCAGTACCCAGATGCTTGAAAACTAGGGTTTCACTGTGTCTGGTTGTTGGGGAGAAAGAGAGAAGATGCAGCCGCTCCTACCAGAGCTTCCCAATCTCTTCCAAACCTGAACCGCCCTCTTTTAGAAGTCAAAAGACACCTCCCAAGCACAGAGTGTCACACCGAAAGCTTCACTTTTACTTGTAACTTCAAAAATCTCTAATCAGCTAGGGTTTTGGATAGATACAATACAGCACCACTTCTTGGCAATATCCAGCCAGATTTACACTCTCCAAATCCTCTACCAACTAGGCCAAAGATCCTCTGAACTATAGAGAGCCTATCTCACCATACACTCTCTTAACCAAAGGGTGTATGGGAAAAGAGAAAGAAGAAAAGAAGGAAGAAAGAAACCTGCTCTGATACCAAGATGTAAATCAGTCCTCTAAATCTGATGTAAACTTGCAAAAAATTAGAGAGAAAAGAGGAAGAAAAGAAGAAAACAGCAGTGCAAGGAAGAAGAAGAAGAGTTCGAAAATCTCTTCCCTCCCTTCTCTAATCCTTTTACTAAACTTCGATCTGAACATAATTACAAGTATACCCTTAAGTGGGCAACCAGCTAGGCAGTAACATAAAGAGAAATAGCAAAAGAAATAGCAGGCCCATTAGCTAACAAATAAATAAAACATACTACAAGAAAAGATACTAGGGCCCATTCAGCCCAGTCTCTTTATAGTCTGTACAATGAGATTCTGATTAGGCTTGAAAATTTGCAGAGGTGACTATCCCTAGGGTTCTCTATTTGGTTGACAGTTTGGATTGCTGATGGCATCCCTTCACAAGGCAAGTGTAACAGGTTATGCACAAAGTTTCCTACTTGACCCATTTAAGAACCTTTGTCCCATTTAAAATAGTTGATTACAAATTATTTTAATTGGTTATTGTTGCTTGAATTAGTTTATGCTTCGTCATCTAATTTGCATTCTTTTCCAACATTTATTCAATTATTTTTATAAATAAAAATTACATAATATTACAAAAAATAAAAATGCCAAAAAAACTAAAACTCAAAAGTTGAAATACACTTGTGGAGTCCCAAATCCATTTTTTATTTTACGAAAAAAAAAATCCTACTTTTCAGAATCACGGAGAGACACCCTTATCCATGTTGTGAAGAAAGTAGAGGTTCATTTATCAAAAACCGAAAAAAAATGAGGTACCAACAAGTCAAATCTAGACAAGGTATATGAATACCCACACCCAGAAGCTATATTAGATATGCCAATTCAAGTTATGGTGAATTGGATACTGGACCTGATCCACCAAAAAATCAGTACTAACAGATCATACCAAATTAAATGCACAAATACAATTAAAAGTTAGAGGAAAATGTTGATTTACCAATCTATAAATTTCAAGATTCACATATCACACGTTAGCAGGTATCCACCTAGGACCAGTGTTTGCAAACCCAGACCCTACTGACTGGGGCCACCTGTGTTGGATATCCAGGCAATCAGGTACCCATTGACACCGAAAGAAGAAAGACATATAATTATTCCATACAGGCATACACATAGCATATCCATCAAGGGACCCAAAACTGGAACATATACAATGACTGAGAAAAGATTGGTATCCTCTACATGAGAAAGAAATGGCACAGAACTCAGAAACCACCAATTAGGAGATGCACTGGTGAAGCATTAAAAATCAGTGGCACCAGAAATAATGATCCTTTACATCCAAATTTGAATTTCTCATGTCCCAACCTTTTCACCTCTCTTTCAAAGTTAGCATTGATATCTTTCACCAAGTATTCTCAAATATCAATGATAAATCATAAAAAGTACTTCAAAAAAATGCATTYAAACTAGTAAACAGGGGAGCATGCTCAGTAAAAATAAAAGATAAAGATTGTACAACAATAGTCAAGACTGAACTTGTTTACAAAGGTGTTGTCATAAGGAACCAAGTATATGCATATTTACCATAGTACCAGATTAACTTGTCTCAAATGAACCGTTTTTTTAAGCAAGCGAGACTTAGAAGATAAGGTACCTGGCCGGAATTGCTAAGCATAGATTCACTGCAAGGATAAAGATCCTCCGATATCAAAGCAGGATAAAGCCTTACATATATAGTTCTTTCCAACAACCTGAAGGAAGATAGGAAGATCACTAAGAGCCATGTATGAGTGACTCAACATATGGTATGCCCATGTGTGTATCTTGTTATCTGAGATAAAGGTAAAAGTAACCATTATAAAAGGATAATGCTTATAAAGCAAGAGCATAGATGAGAGGGGAAATCACAGTATACATGAAATTATTATTCTAGATGCCCTTGAGGCTTGAAGCACAAAGTTTGACTTGGTTATAATGTTTGTTATACTTGAATAAAATAAAAGAATAAAGGTGTGTTCTGATGTAATTCAGGAAGAAGAAAGAAGAGAACTATGCATCGAAGAGAAGAAGAGGGAAGTGAGAGAAGAGAGAAGAAAAGAGAAAAGGGGTTCGGTTAGATTAGTTCTGCCGCCCCACTAATATATATATATATATATATATATATATATTCATGTCCTTACAAAGGTAGGAGTTACTCTAGCACCCCTACTTAAAATAAAAGACAAAAACAAAGAATAAACAAGGCCCAACCGGCCCAACTGTAATATAAGGAAATAAATAATAAAATTGTTAAAAGACTGGTTAAAGAGTGTTTTTTCTTATGTTTTTTATTTCTATTAGTGTCGCAGGGATATTATTGTAATTCCCCTTGTCTTTATGTCATGTCCAGTCGCCCTAATATAAATATTAAAAAGTTGGCACCGCCAGCAACTTTTGATGCTCTCAAATCTCTCTCCTTTCTTCTCTCTTTCTCTCCTCTATCTTTTCTTCACTTCAGTTCTGGACAAGATGGTACCAGAGCAGGACTGTTAGATCTGAAAGAAGAGATCAAGGAAACCTTTTTCTGTTTTCTCCCTTCGCCAGATCTAGATCCAGATTCAGATCGGACTGAAGTACTCTCTCTCCCTTTCTCTTTTTCTTTTTTTCCTGGTCGTGTGCCAGAACAGAACCTGTAATAGGTTCAGTCTGTCAATCTGAGGCGAACAATCCTTCCTCTTTCCTTTTTTGTGGATCGGCTAATCCCTGTAACAAAACTGCAGGTTGGTGATGACCTTTATATGCTGCGACAGCAGCCTTCTGGTGAACTTGTAGGTCAGGGGATGACCTATATATGCTGCAACAGCAGCCACACTTGATTTGTAGGTCAAGAGAGGACCTGTACATACTGCTACAACAGCCGTACAAGATTTATGGTAGGCTAGTGATGACCTGTAAGTCTGGTAACAGCAGCTGGTTTTGGTGAAGAACTGAGTTCTAAAAGAAGGGAAAGGAGTGCAGTGGTGACATAACTGACAGCAGCTTTGTGACGTGGTGACTGAAGTACTATAGTTGACCTAGAAGGTGGCTGCCTGGTTCTTTTATTATTCCTAGTGCAGTTCTTTTTCCCCCACAATTAACACCATGTGAAAGGGAAATAAGTTCGATTATTCAACCTCTTCTAGTGTGATTTAAACTAGCTATCATGAATAGTGGCATATGTTGGGACCCTCATGGAAAGACAAAATGGACTCAGGAATTGAGTAAGAAACAAGGTTCAGACCTGCATAAGAGGCTAAGCCAGCAAGATCCAAGAAAATTCATTGCAGCAACCATGGCTACTCAGGAGACCCAGCCTGCTACTACTACAGTTCAGACATATACAATTGGTTCTGACCCTAGGGAGGATATCATTAATTCATTCCATGATCATTGAGAGCTTTATGGTAGGGCAATTCGCCAAATGGATGCCCCCCTCCATCAACTTCATATGCGTCTACATCAAGTAATTCTGCCATAGCTCTCTATGTATCGTCTCATTCCTCTTACTCTCCTTAGATAATTGATTCTGGAGCGTCAAAACATATGACCGGTAAGTCCACCTACTTTCAAACCTATCATCTTCTCTCTAGAAGAGACAAAGTCAGGCTGGCTGATGATTCATTCTCTATCATAGCTGGTCAAGGGACCGTTTCTCTTCCCTTTGGTCCTACACTCTCTGATGTTTTACATGTTCCTCAATTCCCTATTAATTTGTTTTTTGTTAGTAGTATAACCAATTCTTTAAATTGTTCAGTAACCTTCTTCCCTTCTCATTGTGTAATCCAGGATTTGGACTCGGGGAAGGTGATTGGTAGAGGGCGTATGATGATGGTGTCTACTTGCTGGAGAATAAGGCTGGCCTTGCAGTCACCGAGTCTAAGAGTCAATCTAGTAAGAGTCAAGCCTAAATATGGCACAATTGTCTTGGCCATTTATCCTTTGATTCCTTAAAGATTGTGTTTCCAGAGTTGTTTAAGTCAATGTCAGTGTCAGAGTTGATATGTCAAACTTGTCAATTGAGTAAACATTGTAGAACTCATTTTTCTTYGAAGAATACTAAATCTGAATTTCCTTTCCATATTGTTCACTCTGATGTTTGGGGCCCAGTCACTCTACCATCTGAAAGTGGCTATAAGTATTTCATTACCTTTATTGATGATTATTCCCGGTATACATGGGTATACCCCATGAGAACTAGGGATGAAGTACCAAAAATTATCCAAGACTTCCGAAAAATGATTTTCACCCAATTCCAAACCAAAATCCAAATCTTGCAATTTGATAATGCCAAAGAATACTTCCATAATGACCTTACGGAGTTCTTTGCTTCACATGGATCTCTCCATCGTAGCTCCTATGCTCGAAAACCACAACAAAATGGTGTTGCTGAAAGAAAGAACCACCATCTTCTTGAACGTCCCCAAACGCTTTTGGCTTGAACCTATCCTTTGTGCTGCCTATCTTATTAACCGTATGCCCTCTCGGTGGTTAGAGTACAAAGCCCCGCATCAGCTTCTGTTTCCCAAGGCTCCTCTTTTGTCTATTCCTCTCGGTGTTTTTGGTTGTCACTGCTTCATTCAAAACCTGTCACCCACTCGTGGGAAATTAGATCCTCGTGTTATTCCTTGCATATTCTTGGGATACCCCTTCAAATCAGAAGGGGTATCAGTGCTTTGATCTCGTTTCTCGGAAATATCATATTTCCATGGGTGTCACCTTTTTTGAGAGTGAACCTTTCTTTCCTGTTTCTCCTCAGGGGAGTGTAGGCATGAGGACAAACAAGTTCAAAACCCTCCTCTACCTCAGATTCAGCTCCCTCCTCTACCTAATCCTCCCTTTCGTGTTTTTTGTCGTCGTCATAAAGGCCAACCAAGTTCAAGAGCTATGGAGCATTAAGGAGTTGTACCACAAATGCCATCACATTCTCCAGGGACAGATCCTACACATTCAGGTACCTTAGTTCCCATTGATATTTCTGACCCGATTGCTATTGATACCTCAAGTGTTGATGATCTTAACCTTCCTATTGCTCTCCGGAAGGATGTTAGATCTTGCACCACCAAGCACCCCATTTCCCACWTTGTTTCCTATGAAAACATTTCACCTTCCTTTTGAGCATTCCTCTGTTCCATGGACAGTGTACCTACTCCTAAGAATGTGGCAGAAGCTCTCTCAATGCCTAAATGGATAGATGCAATGAAGAAAGAGATTAATGCATTGCATAAAAATGGTACATGGGAATTGGTGGATCTTCATGAGGGAAAAGAACTAGTTGGATGTAAATGGGTATTTATAGTGAAACATAGAGTTGATGGCACAGTGGAAAGGTATAAAGCTCGTCTAGTGGCAAAAGGGTTCATTCAAGTGTATGGGGTGGATTATGTAGAAACTTTTACACCAGTTGCTAAGATGAACTCCATTAGGGTTCTCTTCTCTTTAGTTGCTAATTTCGATTGGGACCTTCACCAATTGGACATCAAGAATGCATTTCTAAATGGTGATCTAGAAGAAAAAGTGTGCATGGTACAACCTCCTGGTTTCCAGGCTCAAGGTAATGAACAAAAGGTTTGTAGATTAAAAAAGTCTTTATATGGCCTAAAACAGTCACCAAGAGCCTGGTTCAGTAGATTACAAGTAGTTGTGCAACAAAATGGCTACAAGCAATGCCATTCTGACCATACATTGTTTGTCAAAAGAGAGGAAGGAAAAATTGTAGCCCTAATAGTGTATGTTGATGACTCGGCCAGACATTGTTTATTATGTGGGTGTTTTTAGTGAATTCATGCATGCCCCTAAGACCTCCCATCTTGAAGCAACCAAAAGAATTCTCAGATACCTTAAGAAATTCCCAGGTGTAGGTTTGTTATTCCAAAAGCATGGACATCTGAAGGTTCAAGTATATACTAATGCAGATTGGGCAGGATCACTGGATGATAGGAAGTCTACCAGTGGCTATTGTACCTTTGTGAGAGGAAACCTGGTGACTTGGAGAAGCAAAAAGCAAAATGTGGTGGCTAGATCTAGTGTTGAAGTTGAATATAGAGCAATGTCTCATGGAGTGGCTGAAATAATGTGGTTAAAAAATCTATTGACTGAATTGGGATTTATAGTTGATGGACCTATGACTTTATATTGCGACAACAAGGCAGCCATAAATTTTGTTGCAAACCCAATACTACACGATAGAACCAAACACATTGAAGTAGACAAGCATTTTATCAGAGAGAAAGTTGTCAAAGGGGAAGTGTGTACTTATGTCAGGTCCAAAGATCAACTTGCAGACATCTTCACAAAAGGGCTACATCATTTGTGGCACAATGATTTATGTGACAAGTTGGGCATGATAACTTGAGGGGGAGTGTTAAAAAACTGATTAAAGAGTGTTTTTTCTTATGTTTTTTATTTCTATTAGTGTCACAGGGGTATTATTGTAATTCCCCTTATCTTTATGTTATGAACAGTCGCCCTAATATAAATATTAAAAAGCTGGCACCGCCAACAACATTTGATGCTCTTAAATCTCTCTCCTATCTTCTCTCTTTCTCTCCTCTATCTTTTCTTCACTTCAGTTCTGGACAAGAAAAATAAAGTGTGAGGCTGGAACCACACACACTAATGAGCTACTCACACTCCCCCTCAAGTTGGGAGAAAATATTTGTAATTCCCAACTTACGTACTGTCTCCAACTTGATTTTTGTGACTACTTTAGTAAAGAGACCAGCTAACTGCATGTCTGAGGCAATATAAGGAAGGCACACTTCTTGAGATGCAACTCGCTCTCGGATAAAATGTCTGTCCACCTCAATATGCTTA